TCCTGCCTTTCCCCTGGCTCATTCGTTCACTCGGAGTGTGGCTTTCAGAGCTGAACTGGACTTTTTCCCAGCATTTAAACATTCCTTTTAAATCCTCGCTCCAGGAGGTTTAAAAAATGGGTATTTTTATTGATTTCAGAAAGGAAGGGAGAGAGAGAGAGAGAGAGAGAGACATTGATTATGAGAGAGAATCACTGATCGGCTGCCTCCTGCACGCCCCACACTGGGGATTGAGCCTGCAGCCTGGGCAGGTGCCCTGACCTCCTGGGTCATGGTCGACGTTCAACCACTGAGCCCCGCCGGCCGGGCTGAGCAGCCCTGAGTGGTGGCGATGTCTGCGATCATTACCTCCCCAGCGTTTCTTCTTGATGGAGATAATGAACCCAAAAGGCGTTCCTCTGTCTGCCCTTCTTCGTCACCCTCAGGTAGTCCCCCAGGTACACAGCAGTCTCCTGGGCCGTCCACAGCTCCGACTTCTTGGAATATTTCAACAAAAGAGCATCTGTGAAAGGAAGGTCAGATGAAAGCAGACCTGGTTTTCCTAAGGATGGCACAGTTACCGATACAGCGGAAGTGGCTCGGTATACGTTCAGCTGATCTGACATCTTCAGCTTCTGTATACGTTTCTCAAAGGTTAGCCCCTTCCATGGAGACGAATAAAAAGTTATCGAAGAGCAATAAACAAGCAGAGCTTCACAAATAAGACGAAGACTAGCCTTTGATTCACAGAATCTTGTTTGTGGTGGCAACGTGAAGGTCAGGCCAGGGTTTCAGGACGAAAGGAGAGGAGAATAAAGGGCTATTTATTTATTTTGAAATATATTTTTATTGATTTCAGAGAGGAAGGAAGAAGGAGGGAGAGAAACATCAGTGATGAGAGAGAATTATTGATGGGCTGCTGCCTGCACGCCCTCTATTAGGGATCGAGCCTGAAACTCAGCTATGTGTCCTGACCGGGAATTGAACCACGGCCTCCTGGTTCCTAGGTCGATGCTCAACCACTGAGCCACGCCGGCCAGGCTAAACAGAGACATCCTGGAATATGTGCTACAGGCTTGGTCTTCTTCTGATGACCTGAGGGGCTCCAGGTAATGGGCTCCTACCTACACCAGGTGCTATGGACAGAAATATGTCAATGTCTTACCTCAGAGGTCCTGGCATTCCAGGGCCCCTCAATTGCGTGTTAAAGCACCCCCTCATCTTCTCTTCCTTGTTTTGTTTAATTTGGAAAAGCACAACAATTACTTGAGAAAATATAGCTACTGTACAAAGATATGAACTCACCTGGAAAAGGGAAAGATATGAAAAAATAAGGACCATCTTCACCTTAAAGAATTAAGAACAGCCCGGCCAGCGTGGCTCAGTGGTTGAGCATCAACCTATGAACCAGGAGGTCACGGTTTGATTCCCGGTCAGGGCACATGCCCGGGTTTTGGGCTCCATCCCGTGTGGGGCGTGCAGGAGGTGGCAGATCAGTGATTCTCTCTCATCGTTGATGTTTTTATCTCTCTTTCCCTCTCCCTTCCTCTCCTATATCTATATATATCTATCTCTATCTCAATCTCTATCTCTATCTCTCTCTCTCTCTCCATCTCCATCTCCATCTCTATCTCTCTATCTCTATCTCTATCTCTATCTCTATCTCTATATCTCTATATCTATATCTAATCTTTATCTATATCTATATCTATATATCTCTATCTCTATCTCTATCTCTCTATATCTATATCTATATCTATATCTATATCTATATCTATATCTCTATCTCTATCTCTATATCTATATCATCTATATCTATATCTATATCTATGTCCATATCTATATCTATATCTATATCTATATCTATATCTATATCATCTCTATCTCTATCTCTATCTCTATCGCTATCGCTATCTCTATCTCTATCTCTATTTCTATATCATCTATATCTATATCATCTATATCTATATCTATATCTATCTATATCTAATTTTAAAGAATGAAGAGCAGCGCCAGCAAGAAAGCACCCCTTTGAGGGAGAAATGCAGCATTTTGGGATGCTGTGTGATGTCACCTTTACGTGGAATTTAAAAAGAGATCGGACTGTGGTTCCCAGTGGGGGAGGGGGGCTGGAGGGAGACAGCCAGAAGGTGCAGACTCAGTGTAAGAGGAGCCAGTCCCCGGGACGCTGGCCCCGCTGCGGGCACACAGGGCAGTTGTAGGAGAGGAAGCCCTAGGATTCTCACCACAAGGAGAAAGCTTTTTCTTCTTTGTTTTGTCTTTCTTTCCCCTTTATTGTGTCTGCGTGAGAGGGTGGAGTGAGTGAACCCCTGGTGATCATGTCACCAAACACAGGCGCAGACTGCCATGCTGTCCGCCTCAAACTCACACAGCGATGGATGTCTGTGACCCCCCAATACAACTGGGGGAATGAAAACCATGCTGACTCCTGGATCCACACCCCGCCTATGAGATTGGAATCTGGGGGGAGGCCTCGGAAGTTTAGGACCGAGCCCCAGGGGTTCCCGTGGGGTGCCAGGACTGAGAACTACTCAAGAATCCAGTGCTTAGCAACTCACATGTATTCTCCTAAAATGCCCTTTGCAGCAGTTTGTTGGTTTTTTTAAAATATTTTTTTTATTGATTTCAGAGAGAAAGGGAGAGGGAGAGAGAGAGAGGGAAACATCAGGATGAGATAGAATCATGGATCAGCTCCTGCACACCCCGCACTGGGGATGGAGCCTGCAACCCAGGCATGTGCCGCGACCGGAAATCGAACCCATGACCTCCTGGGTCATAGGATGACACTCAGCCACTGAGCCACGCCGGCCGGGCTGTATTGTTTTTTCATTCCAGTAACTGGTCAGTATCTTGGGCTTTATGATGGGTCCCCGGCCGAGAAAAGAACCCTGTTTTGTTCCTTCCTTCGTCCGCCACCGCGTAGAAGCTCTCCTGGATGCGTGGCCCTGGGGTGCATCCCCTTCCCAGAACTAAGGTACAGAAAGTTAGACTCCGGCTGACCTTTGAG